ACATATACTTGGAGACTTAACAACACAGTCTTGAATGAGCAAAGGGTTATTAAAGAATCTAGGGAGGAAACTTAAATAATTCCTAGAATCAAATGAAAATGAAAGTTTATTAGAACCTTTGGGGTGCAGCTAAGGAAACCCGAAGAGGAAAATTTGCAGCTACAATGCATTGAATATACATATAAAGTTGGCAAAGAACAAATTTCACTAATTTTTTAAAAACTAGACATATCTCAAATTAATAACTTAATGATGCATCTTGAGAGCTTAGGGAAATGAGAATAATACAAACCCCAAAGTAGTAGACAACAAAACTAATAAAGATCAAGGAAGAAATAAATGAAACAGATACTAAAAGGACAAAGTTAATTCTTTTTTAAAAAAGAAAAAAAAGAGGGACTGAAGAAATGACTCAGAGGTTAAGAACACTATTTGCTTTCCCAGAGGACACAGGTTCAATTCCTAGCACCCATATGTCAGTTATCAACAGTCTGTAACTTCAAGATCTGACACCCTCACACAGATATACATGCAGGCAAAACGCCAATGCACATAAAATGAGGATAATTATTTAAAAATAAAATGAAATAAAAAGAAACAACCTCTAGCCATGCTAACCAAATACGAGAGAGAAAAGATCCAAATTAATAGAACTAGACAAAGATGGTGAGATTACAATAGATTCCACTGAAATTCTGAGAGTCGTTGGGAATATTTTGAAAACTTCTATAAACAAAAAATTTGGGGGAAATCTAAAATAGATGGATAAATTGAACATATGTGGCCCACCAAAGTTAAATCAAGAAGATTTGAACAACCAAGAAAAGCAACATAATCGAAGCAAATAATATCCATCAAATAAAAGCCCAGAATACACAGCAAATTCTGCCAAACCTTCTAAGTAGAACTGGCTCCAATGCTCCACGTAAACCATTCCATTAAAAATCAAATAAACAGATAAACACTACTAAACACAAGTCTGTGAACTGAGGTGTGTTTCTTGTATACAGCAGGTAAACAGATGATGTTTTCATATCCAATGTGTTAGCCTGTGTCTTTTCATAGGTGGACTGAGTCCATTGATATTAAGGGATATTAATGACTAGTGATTGCTAGTTCCTACTATTTTTGTTTTTGTGTAGGGGTGGTATTGGGTGTGCATTTCTCTTCTTTAGGATTTCCTGGTGTGGAATTATCTATTTCCTGTGTTTTTGTGGATGTAGCTAATTTCCTTGGGTTGGAATTTTCCTTCTAGTACTCTCTATAGGGCTGGATTTGAAGATAGGTATTGATTAAATCTGGTTTTGTCATAGACTATCTTGTTTTCTCCATCTACATGTATTGAAAGCTTTCCTGAGTATAATAGCCTAGGCTGTGTTCTCTTAGGGTCTGAATAACGCCTGACCAGGACCTTCTCTGAATTGTTTGCATTGAGAAGCTGAGTGTAATTCTGATAGGTCTGACTTTGTATCTTATTTGGCCTTTTTGCTTCGCAGCTCTTAATATTCTTTCTTTATTCTGTATCCTTTGTGTTTTGATTATCATGTGGTGAGGGGACTAGGGGCTTTTTCTTTTTTGGTCCAATCTATTTGGTGTTGTGTAAGCTTCTTGTATTTTCATAGGCATATCCTTCTTTAGATTTGGAAAGTTTTCTTCTATGATTTCATTGAACATAATTTCTGTGCTTTTGAGATGGAGTTCTCCTTCTATTCCTAATATTCTTAGGTTCAGTTTTTTTTCATGATATCCTAGATTTCCTGGATATTTTATGTTAAGAATTTGTTGAAATTAGCATTTTCTTTGACTGTATCTATTAGAGGATATCTATTTCCTCTATCGTATCTTCTACGCACGAGGTTCTCTCATCTGTCTCTTGTATTCTGTTCTTTATGTTTGCTTCTGCAGTGTCTGATCATTTATTCAGATTTTCCATTTCCAGAGTCCCCTTGTTTTTTTTTTTTTCCTTATTGTCTTTATTTCAGTTTTCAAGTCTTGAACCTTTCTTTTACCTGTTTGATTGCTTTTTCCTCGTTTTCTTAGTGGGATTTGTTGATTTCTTCCTTTTTTTTTTTTTTTTTTGTCTTTTCATCCACTTCTTTAGTGGGATTTTTCCTTTCTTCTTTAAGGGCCTCAATCATCTCCATCAAGTTATTTTTAAGGTAATTTTCTTCTGTTTCATCTACATTGGGGTGTTCAGGTCTTGCTGTTGTAGAACTACTAATTTCTGGTGGTGCTGTATTGCTCTTAATGCTATTGAGTGTATTCTTACCCTGTTGTCTACCCTTCTCTTCCTCCAAAGGGAACAGATGGGGCCTGTGTTTCTGGGGAGAGGGGTCCTTTTTCTTCTAATGGGTGTAGTTGTGGGCTGTGGTTCTGATGACGGCTCCTTCAGGTGTAAGCAGGGCAGAGCCTCTGGTAATTGTTTCTCCAGGTGCCTATGGGATCAAGGCTCAGATGGTCGCTCCTCCTGGTGCAGGTGAGGCTCCAGAGACAATCTCCGGAGGCCACTGCTGTCACCACAGCTTATGATGCTGCTGTGGCTTCCTCCCCTTGCTTCCTGGCTGCCTGCCCACTGCATTGCTGAGTCTTCCTCTCTCAGAGGCCTGGCCCACCTGCCGCACTGCTCCAGGTCACTGTTTTGCTTTGGTTCCTTCCTGCTCATCCACCGAAAATACGAGGAGAGAGGAAGATAATGTGTTTTTGTTGTTTGTTTTAACTGAGTACTAGGACACCTTCCTTTTCCCAGGAATAGTAACTAAAAGCATACAGCACTCTGAAATTCCCGGTGTTCTCAGCTCCCACTGCAAGGAGAGCTGTTGGTAACTTGCAGAGGCATGCCACCCTTACTGAATAGGGCACTAATACAATCTGTCCTACCTATCTTTGGATCCTTTCTGTATTTTAAGAAATATAATTGTAATTAACAATCAAGGCAATATCTATAAAAACGAGGTAGAACGGTGAATATTAAATATAAATCAAAGGGCTAAAGATGCAACATAGTTCGTGCAGTACTTGCCTAGCATGCATGAAACCCTGCGTGGTTCAGTCCTCGGCATTGCACACACCGGCAGTGATGGCATAAGGCTGTAATCTCAGGGAGGTAGAAGCAGGAGGATCAGAAGTTCAAGATCATCCTCAACTAGACAGGGAGACAGAGCAGAGGCCAGTCTGGACTAGAAACCCTTTCTTTCTTTTTTTTTTTTTTTTGATTTTTTCGAGACAGGGTTTCTCTGTAGCTTTGGAGCCTGTCCTGGTGCTAGCTCTTGTAGACTAGGCTGGCCTAGAACTCTCAGAGATCCGCCTGCCTCTGCCTCCCGAGTGCTGGGATTAAAGGCGTGCACCACCACCGCCCAGCCTAGAAACCCTTTCTGAAGAAAAATAATAATACATTGGAGTTTAAGGATATAATCCTAAACTGGATAATTTCCTTTGATTATGACCTAGTAATTCTACAATATTTCCCACTATATCTCTTTTAGATAATTGGTATATAGTACTAATAAAACTATATTGTTCTATATTCATGTACAGATGTGTTTATGCATGAATATGTATGGAAATTATCTCCTCATTACAGAATATAATATGGAAATATAATGTCTATGATGTGTTGACATAAATATTTCATTGCCTTCTGATATGAGCTTTGGAAAGGAAGGGTTGGATTCCTGTGTGTTGCATTTGAATTACCTCTTCCATGTAATTTGCACACTAAACATGTATGTGGGCTTTAGAGCACTATAACTGCCACGTCTTTATAATATGTTGTTGAATACACAAAGAGCTTCCTTGCCTTTTGAATTAAAATTTCAAAAGTACTAACCCATTTTCAGAAGCAAAAGCACTGATTCAAGGATTCAATAAGATATTCATTAGCACGGAACAACAAAAGCCCTGTTGTAATTACGGTGAGCAATACGTTACGTGATGGGCCTGGGAACCATGCAATGAGCTTCACACATCATAACTCCGCCCCAGCACCGTGGGACAAGCAGCTAGGCACTGCCACCCAGGGTCTCTAATATTTATCCAACGTCCAGAATGTTGTACAAATTAATTTCTGAGAAATCATTTTACAATCATGTAACTAGAGGCGCAAAGCATAAATCCATTACCTCTCCATGGCCATTTGTGTTTAATGAACGCCTGCGTAGCACTGATCATATAAATCTTTTTAGACATTAGAATTGAATTAGTTCTTTTTGCCTGCATAGCAAACCTGTAAGTTGGAGACAGGGAAACTGAGGCACAGAGAAATTGAGTAGCATGCCCTCAAGGTAGTCATCTAAGACTCAAATGCCAGAAGGCTGCTGCATGTGACCCCACGCCCAGTCCTTCCTTCCTAAACATGACACCTAAAAGTGTTTCACCTTGGAGATCATGGCTAGTGATCAGAACCATCTCTGCTGTTTATTTAACTTAAATCATTGCATCTTGTGGGACCTTACAGTCACGGTCAATAAAAGATGCTTGCTTTGCGGCTGGAGGTCTGGCTTGATGATTGATAGAGCATTTTTAGCTTGATCCTCAGGATTGTACAGATTGGAGGGAAAACTGATCTTCTGTTAGTATTGACTAAACACATCCTAGTGGCCAAATGTAAAAAAAAAAAAAATGAGATGAACTGTCAGCTTCTCAATGACTTTACCTTCATTCAGTCCAGAATCTTAAACATAGGCAAGTATTTTCAAGTATCTTAAGGTACCTTTATCAACTGGATAAAAATTTATCAATAGGCATCTAGCCCTCATGCTTTTTTAATTGTTGCAAATAAAATTTGAAGTCTATGAAACAAGCTGGCCCATGAGTCATGAAAGAATTGGACATAAAAGATTTCCAAACTTGAAGTTCTAAGTCCTCGAGGTCATTATTTACCCTTGTAATCTGTTTGCTTTTGCTCTATGTGCACAATCTAGGTCCTGAAACGTATCCATCCTCTGTGATATGGTTGTGTCCAAGCCGTAGACTCAGGCCACAGTTACGGACACTGATTGGTAGGCTTGGCAGTCGCTGTGGACAGGGCAAGGGTTGAATAGACACCAAGAACAAAAGTAGGTTCTCTCTGTGGAACAACTCTGTGAATGGAAAGGGTGGGAAAGGTCAGCCTGCTGCTTTCTGCCCTGAATCCACTCCGGAAGAAAGGACTTCTGCCTGGCATCTCTTCCAGAGGACACAGCGGAAAAGTAATCTTACTAGGTAAGCTTTCTGGAATTTTGGTCAGATTGTATAGATCTTACAGAAACACACACACACACACACACAACACCAATCTATCCCACACCCACTAGACAGAAATAAAATCTTGTTTAAACAGTCGTTGGTCCTGTGAACTAGTATGAGCAGTCCCAGCTCCTTGGCTTTGCTCTGTTGAGAGTTTCACCACAGCTGAGTTCAGCCAAGGAAGGACTCACGCCAGCATCCTAGAGAGGTCTGGCTGGCAGGACTCTAGGGCAACCAAAACTGCCCTGAAGAATGGCACCAGGCCAAGCCCGAAAGGCAAGCAGGGCTTTCCCAGTTTGGTTGAAGAGGAAGAGGCTCTTGGTGGCGGCGACAGAGCTGCACTGGCAGTGGCTGTAAGACAGACAGGTTGTTACCTCAGCATAGAAATTCCAGAAGTTTCCCTGGTGATTTCCTACTCAGGTTTGCAGCCAACAAAGATGAACGGCGTGGATTTAGGTGGAAGGAGGAAAGTAAATAGCCAACAGATCACCGTGCTGTGCCTTTACTACCGCTAACTGTCTGGACAACTCGGTTTCTAGAAATGTGTGACCAAAAACCTGAATGGTTTGTCTGTCTGCCTAGACGGTCTAGGTACGAAGAGTTGGACAGTGGATAGCCAATAGATGGCAGGATACTGTAAAACAGTCCAAAGCCTTCTAGCAAATGACCCGATTAAGTGATCAAATTTAATCCAAGGTCAGCCCACTCAACTCAAGCACACGTGACATCAGAAACTCCAGTTTGAGATTTATGCTTGTTAGGTCTTAACTTCTTTTTGTAGTGTTGGGGACTAAAGGCAAGTCTTCATGCATGCTAGGCAAGTACTCTACCACTGAGTTATATACCTGGGCTTTTTCTTTCTTAGGAGACAGGGTCTCACTATAGTGCTCAGGCTGACCTCAACTCCCAAGTAATCCTGCTACCCCGGGTGGAATTAAAGGTATGTGCCATTATGCCTGGCATTTCTTTTTGCTTTCTTTTTTTAAAGGTGTATTTATTTTTATGGCAGGCGTGTGTGTGTGTGTGTGTGTGTGTGTGTGTGTGTGTGTACATATGTGCAGGGATCCTCTGTAGCTAGAACAACAGGCAATTCAGCCCCCACCATGTTGTGAACTAAACTTAAGTCCTCTGTAAGAGTGGCAAATACCCTTAACCACTGAGCTTTCTCTGCAGCCTGAATTTTTCTCTTTTTTTAAAACCAAGTCCATCAAACAGCTGAACCAAGCATACATTAATTCAAAAGCCCATAGGACAAAATTAATAAAATCCTCATGCTTTTACATCGGCTGTGGTGTGTGAGATGGTCTCTGGGGGCAACTCCTTCTCGGTGTTTGGACGCTAGAGTCCAACAGATGTAGGACAAAACTTGAGGAAGATCATCAACCTAATAGTCATTCAGAAACTTTTGTTAAGGGGAGTGGGAGTTGGAGGCAGGGTTTCTCTGTGTGGCACTGGCTATCCTGGAATTCACTCTGTAGACAAAGGCTGTCCTGGAACTCAGAGATCCGCCGGCCTCTGCCTCCCCAGTGCTAGGATTAAAGGCGTGCACACTGCTCCTAAAGGCTTTTTGATAATGAAAGCAGACTTCTGTGCTGAGAAGACGAAGCAACACCACAACAGCCTGTTCCATCTTCTCTCAGAGATCAGGCCTCAGTTTCTGTTTCCTGAGACTGAGCAGGCAGTTTCTGGAGGTATCATGAACAAAGGACAGTCCCCAACACCCCAACAATAAGGAGGAGGCCTGATAATGCAGTACCAGCCTGGGCCTGAGTCGCGGTCAGCAGTTCAAGGACAAGGCTTGGGACTTGTCTAGGTCTACCCCCAAATGGAAAATGGGGCTTTTCTCCGCTCCCAAACTACCTCTTTATCTAAGTCTTCCATAACAAACCGACTTTAGACGTTGTGAAGTCACATGGGGACCTAAAAATATTTCTTTGTTTACTCATTGTAGCAGATTTGCCTCACCTGTCTAGAAAACTTTGACCTCCTTCAAAGATATCAGCACCTGGGCTTCCAGATGTACCCTAGAGATTTTTTTCTCCATAGGCACAAAAACAAGCCTTAACCCAGTGTGAGGAATGCCAGCAATGCTTTCCTTTCCTGAGAAGTTCAGCCTGGAATACCCTCAGTTCCTGTCATTCCTGTGGCTCTCCTGCTCCCAAGGCTCCACTGCTGCAGCCTGGTAAAATGTCCTAGACTTGGTTCTCCATTGTGGTAAGAGTGGCTGGGACAAAGGCAAGACTAATGAGCAGGAGTCCTCTTAACGGAAGATGTCATGAGGCCGCGTCCGCAGGCCTCTACTCTCTAGATGAACAAGAATCATGACTGCAGAGGCTCTTCCCAGGGCAGCTGGACAAGATGCATCACTCTGAGGCATGCTTCTGACTCAGGACCTAGCCCGGTAAAGCCCCAGGGTGTGTTCCAGATATAGGCTGCTTCTCAGAGAGAATAGCCTGAAGGTGAAAAAGACGTTACAGATCTACACAGCACTAAGCAATTCAAAATCCTCTACTAACATTATTAGGACGATAAAAAGAAACAGTTTGTTGCAAACTGTTTAACATGCCCTAACTATGCAAATGTCTGGTCTCCTCTAAAATTGTCCTGCTAACTTTTTTTCTATGTAAAAAACTAGTCTAGAGTTTGCTTCAGTCTGGGACAGTCTGAAGTTTCCTGGCCTTCATATTTCCGATGAGTCCTGACCTTTTATCATGCACTCGGCTACCAGTTGAAGTTCGTGTGATTTTCCTTTTCCTGACACAATTATGGTTGTGTATCTGGCGCTCAGTGTAACAGAAGTGACGCAGTGCCCGCAGTGCCCGCGGTGCCCGCGGTGCCTCACACGCTCTATTTCCTGGTGACCGTAATTTCAAGGCCTTGATTCAAGCGGTGCCTGCCAGTTTGTTCCACCACTCGGTTACTGAGCAACTAGCTTATGGGAAGATATTTTGAGGCCCTCTAAGCAAAAATTTGTAACACTTTTGTTCTCTAATGGTAGCATGCGCTGGTGATTCTTGCCTGGAATAATTATTACCGTAGTGCTTGCCAAAGGGTAAATTCCCTCCTTTCGCCAATCCCTCTGGATTTATCCGCTGGAATCCTGCTGTACAGGAGACTTTCCTCTTCTGTCCCTTGCGTTAGTCTGAACACAAGTTCCTATTTTATTCGCGTTGCAATTTATTGTTAAGATTATCTTGTTGTTCAACAGTCCCGTGTTAGTCAGATGAGCCCTGAGAGTTGGCTCTAGGCCAGATGTGGTGGCACACTCCCGTAATCCCAGTACTTGAGGTGCAGAGGCAAGAGGTCAGCCTCCTCCCCACAGCAAGTCTAAAGCCAACCTAAACTACAGAGTGAGACCCCATCTCAAAAAACAACAGCGAAACACCTAAGTCAAAGAACACTGTGTTACCTTATGGTACTACATAAGCAGCCCTGGGTGTAATCCGGGCTGCAGAGTTCTTTCAGAACTAAGTAGACAGTGAGCATGTGTACGTACTCGTATATGAATGCATAGCCATTCCCTGACGTATCAGCTACTTTTCTTGTTGCTATGACAAAATATGTGTTGGGAACATTCTGAAAGAGGCAGGTTTTCTTGGGTGTGTAGTTTCAGAGATTTCAGTCACCAGTCCTCGTGTCCATTGATTCTGGGATCAGTGTCACAGAGAGGCAGGACGTCATGGAGCTAGGGGAATGTGGAAGAGAAGGCTGTTCATCTCTTGACAGTTGGAAAGTGGGAGATGGAGAAGGGACTGGGTATAACCTTCAACACTCTACTTCCAGTGACTTCCTTCATCCAGGTTGACCCTGCTTCCTCAGTTTCCCACCACCTGCCCAGATAGTAGGACCAGTACCAAGTGTTCAACACTTGAACCCACAGGGACAATTCATATTCAGGCCATAACCTTTGGCATCTATAGAGAAGTGATATATACAGTTGATTGAGTCTGTGATCATGGAGAGAGACCCAAATATCAACAGCCGTATTGATTTCCCCCATGTGTGTAAGCAGAAAACTGTGACTTCCCGCTGTCTTCCATTGAACTTCATCACCACAGGGTTCGCCGCTTTTCACCTTTTTGCTGCTCTCCTCTCCTCTTCCACAGTGAGCAATCTGGCGCTGATCATTTGTAACACTCTGCTGCCTTGACCTCTTCCCTACAGGCAATCGTTCTCCCATAAGCCACCTCCACTCTTCCTTCTGCAGTTGTTCCCCTCTCCACACTTGGGCCGAGGCACGCTGTCCACATTGTCTTTGAATATGATGACTTCTTTGTTTCTTCCTGGCTGCCAGCCCATCGCTAACCTCTTCCTGTGGTCCATAATCCTGTGGCGAAGGATGGATACCTAAACACGGTCAGGATTCTGAGAGCCAAACAGAAGGAAATGGATTTTCAATACGTTGTCAATAGTTCAGTATCAGTTATCCTTTTCCCCTGGGAATTCTGCATCTTCTCAGACTATCCTACAGTTAGAGTGGGGACAGACACATCTGTGGCCTCGGTGAAGCCAGGTTAATAACTTTCATTTATGCGTGTGTGGACCTTAGATGACCTTATTCACCATTATCTGGGAGAGGTTTAAGTACCATCACCCCTAACCTGTAAGTGGGATAAGGCAAAGACAGTAATTCTGAAGTTCAACTGAATGTTTCATGGAAAAGTCAAAGGGTTAATAATGGTTAAAAAAACAAATCTGTGAATGCTAATATATCTTGAAATTCCATGACAGTCTTCTATTTTTTTTAATTAAAAATAGACTTTTTTTCATACAATATAATTTGATTACGGTTTCCTCTTCCCTTACTCCTCCCAGTTCCTCCCCAACTCCCCTCCCTTCCCTTTCTGTCTCTTCTTAGAAAAGAAACAGGCATCTAAGGAATCATAATAAGATAAAGTAAAATACAGTATGATAAATAAAAACAAACAAACCAAAATAGGACAAAACAAGCAATCAAGAAAAAGACCCAAAGAAACAGCACAAGAAATGCATAGAAGACTCAAATGTTCATGCACACACAGGATCCCGTTGAAACATAAAACGGGAAGCTATACTATATATGCAAAGGACTTGCAGGGAGATAGGTAGATAGATGGATAGATTGATAGATAGATTGATAGATAGATAGATAGATAGATAGATAGATAGATAGAGACAGATAGATATAGATAGATAGATAGATAGATAGATACATACATACATACATACATACATACATACATATACATGTCTTGGCTTAACATCATGAGACAAAGAGCCTCCAATATGCCATTGAGTTCATTTTGTGTTGGTCATCTACTGCTGGCCATGGAGTCTACCTTTAAGAATTGCTTGCTTTCCAGTGAGACTCCCTTGGAGAAAACTAAGTCTCTATTTGCAAGTGGCTAACAATTGGAGATAACTCCTGGCTTAGGGATGGGACTTGTGTCCACTTCTTTCAGCTCTAAGATCCCATCTGGTGTAGATCTGTGCAGGTCCTATGCCTGCTGCCACAGCCTCTGTGACTTCCTATGTGTGCCAGGCCTGCTGTGACTAGAACCATGTCATATGTGAAAGATGGTGACAATTATACCAAAACTTTGTATCACTTGGCTCAGAGATCAAGCTACAGATTAGTAGCAACCAATCTTTCAGATATAGACAAGTTTTGTAGTGATATTTTATTTGTATTTTAATCAATAAAGCCCACCTGAAGAAAAAAAAAAAAACACAAAACTAAGCCACCAGAGGCCAGGGAAGGATGGCATGTGCCGCCTTTAATCCCAGGATTTGGGAGACAGAGGCAGGTGGAACTCTGTGAGTTCAAGGCTACCCTGGGCTACACAAAATCCGTCCAGAAGCAGATCTAGGTGGAGGTGGCTCACATCTTTAATCCCAGTGTTTGGGAGCCACACACCTTTGATCCCAGCACTAGGGAGGTGGAGACAGGAGCTATTTGGCTGGGCTGAGAGAGAAGTCTAAAGGGAAAGAGACAGGAACTCAGTGGAGTGTGGAGTCTGAGGTGTGGTGGAGACACAGTGTAGTCTAGGCAATCTGAGGATCACTGCTTTGATCTGAGCATTAGTAGAGGGAAAAGGTCTCTCCAGTGCCTTACTGCTCTGCTTCTCTAATATTCAGCTTTAACCCCTGTATCTGTCTCTGGGTTTTGGTTAATTAAAAGTAACTAGAATTCGTGCTGCAAAGTTTGTTTTCTGCATTTCTTCTCTTTTTTTCTTTTTTTATATTCATCTTACTACAGCATTTGTCCCTATTTAAAAACAACGCTGCATTTCCAAGGTTGGGCTGCAAGGAAAAGTCAGAAGCCCTAGATAAGAAAAAGGACATTTCAGTCAAAGACACCGATTCCGCTTTTTGTGCTTATTCTGGACATCTGTCCAGCATCAGGACACAGGGCACCCTTCCCACCCCCTCCGCACCAGCCGTCACTCACGGCAGCTGCTTGCCTGAGGTTAGCCACGGGAGGCAGACAGAGAGGAGCTGAGTCAGCAGAATTCAGCTGTCAGCAGCGTGACAGGAAGTGTGACTTGAAGCCGCTTTTCCCACAGCTGTGTGTCCTGAGCTTTCTCTTTAAACCCCCAACACTGGAATTTTATGAGTTTCCTTTTTGTGACAGATTCTTTTCTTTTCTTTGTCTCGTGACTTCTGGTCCCTACACTCTTGTCTCAAGGCTGTGTTAGTGAGACCCTGTCATGCCCGGATCCTACTGAACTGCTACGCTTTCACTGAGGGAAAATGGTTCCAGTCAGGTCATCTTTCTGTCATTTGGAATGCGAGCACATGGGGATGGATTCTTAGTGTGAAAATACAGGGCTGCCGTGTGGCTCGGCTGGTAGAGTGCGTGCCTGGGGAAGAAAGAAAACTTCACTTGTCACTCAGTTCCTGTCCTTTCGATGGTCTCCTTATCTAAGGACTCTATTTATGCAATAACTGTGGTATATGCTGTGTGTTCCTTTGCTTAACCATGTCTCACTGGTGGCAGCAAGATCACTAATTCTGTAATCACACGCTAATGTCCTCGTTCCATCTTTCTGTCCTGCCATCAGAATAATCTTTCTGTTCTGTGTTCTGTAGTATTATCCTTTGCTAAAATTCTACCAGTGTCTTGGGTTGACTCCCCAGGCCCCAGACCAGTATCTGGTGCTGTAACAGTCTATCCGCTGCCTGTCCCAAGCCAAGGTCCACATTGCTAAATTCCTCGCAAAGACTCTTAATCTCTTCAGAGGACATCTATTGTGTCTAAACTCTACTTTTGACTTTACGACTTTAAGGAACCTACTGTAGCTAGGATTTTGAAACTGAGCTTAGATACCAATGGCCCTTGGATATTTTCCTGACTTCCTATTAGGCTCCGGGTGGGTGGGGGGCATCTCCCTTCTGACCTCTGTATTTACTTTCATCAGAACCCTTATTATCTTTAACTTGTTTGTCTGCTAGCCTGGGTAAGCCCTTTGTCTTTTATTTCTGTATCTCTATCAGCTACTATTGTATTGGTGTTTGGTTGCTACTCACATTGAGTAAATGAATGAATGAGATGGAACAGGAAAAACTGATAGTGGCCATTTAACGTTTGTCACTTGGGGAGTTAGCAACGCCAATGCCTAACTAACACTAAGTCAACCATGTAAATCTATTCAGCTGGACATTTTAGGGTATGTTGTTGGGAGCTTAAAACTGCACACTGAATCTCTTTCTCCTGGCAACTGTAGCAGCACATAAATCATTGAGCAACAGAGTCCTGTAAGAGTTCACCATATGGAGCCAATAAAAGGTGTCCAAACCACAAAGAAAAAGTACTAAAAAGGCAAGACAAGGTTTTCAAACAGGGGCGATAGCACGGATTGGAATTGCTGAGGCTGTATTCACACTCAGCAGTAAACACGGGAGAGAAGGGTGTGATTGCTTTCAGAATATTCGGGAGGTGGCAGGTCTTTGATCTCCTGGCACTTGATTCACAATCTAGAGACACTTAAAATGTGCATCCTGCCACTCCCTCCCCACCGCTCTATCCTAGGAAGTCTGCTTTCTGAGGATTTCCCGAGTTATTACTGCGAGCGAAGGCTTCATGCCCTCATCACCTCTGCTCCAACTCGGAATGGTTTGTCTCCCCATCCTTCATCTGGTCCACTTTAGTGCTTCTCTGTCCTTTACACAAAGCTTGTGTCTTGCCACTTTTTAAAAAACATCCCCCAAACATCTTGGTCCACTTGTATCAGTTGTCTCTCTTTCTCTCTCTTTTAAGTAGGGGGTTGGAGAGATGGCTCAGAGGTTAAGAGCACTGGCTGTTCTAGAGGTCCTGAGGTCCATTCCCAGAAACCACATGGTGGCTCACAGCAGTTTATAATAGAATCTGATGCCTTCTTTTGGCATGCAGAGCACTCATACACAGTACATATATATATATGCATATACATATATGTATATATGCAGGGTCTCATGTAGTCCACTCTGGCCTTGAACTCTCTACATGGCTAAAGATGACTGGTAACTCCATATCCTCCTGCCTTCACCTAGGATTCCACACACGTGCCATCATATCTGACCCTTTTATTGTTTTCAACAGCACTCATGCCTACGGTAGTCACACAACAACTCTTATCCTTGGCTCCAATCCCTGTCACATTGTATAATCCACTGGCATCTTTGTCCTGTCCCCACAGCTCTCACATCTTCCTTTTAGACCCAGTGTAATTGTCCTTCACGGTTGATTATTATAATCAGTCCTTTGGTTATATTGCCATCTCTTCCTGTAACCTTCCTTAACAAATCCCTCACTGAGACGTAGTCCCAACTCTGTTTGTGGTACAACTATACTCACATAGCATGATTGGAAACATGCTAGCTGGCTTTTGTTTTGAAGATTGACATTTGATGTGGGAATCTTCTGTTTTGTGTTAATTTCATTGGTTAAATAAAGAGACTGCCTTGGCCCTTTAATAAGACAGAAAATTAGGTAGGCGGAGTAGACTGAACAGAATTCTGGGAGAAAGAAAGCCGAGTCAGACAGTTGCCATGATTCTCCCACTTCAGACAGATGCTCACTCCACAGCAGCAGAAACAAGAAGACCCTGCCTCAATGAGGTGGAAGCTAGAAGGGACTCTTGAAAATTGTTCCTTGACCTCCACCTGTATAGCATATGAATGCCCATGTTCAGACCTCCCACACTAATGATAACAATAAAATTAAGTTGTGAAAAAAGGCAGGATGATGTGTGTTGACTTCATTCATTCATTAGTGATGTAGTCTTTTTCATTGAATAATAGTTTAGAATTAAATTTTTATGCTACTCAGAACGAACACATAACACTTTTAATTTTAATATACATTATTAAATTTTTCTCCATTATTTCCTTTAAAAAAAACTTAT